GTTGCCGTTTGATTCCGTGCATCCGATCGATGCAAATAAGATCACAAATCTAGTGGCGCCCTATAAAGACGTGGACGGGTTGGTCACCATTCAATGAATCCCTGGTTTTGTTGTCATTAATATTAAATTAATTTTGATAATAGTTTGTCGAATGAAAATGCGGGCAAACTATTGCACGGAGAGGCGGACGGGAGCAACAGTTTCCTGCCCTGTACTCCAAATGGCTGTATGGAACTGATCAGGAGATCCGGTGCTCAAATCGCCGGTTTGTTTGTTATAAACCATATGAATGTTTAATTATGGATAACTGTGAGGATTGTGTGGATTAGGCGCCAACGCTGTGGTGATCGGGCGAAGTAAGATTGTGGGCTCACCGATGGCTCAGCTGCTAATCTGGAACAACGCGACGGTCACTGTCTGTCACTCAAAGACCAAAAATATTAAGGAAATTGTCCAAAAGGCTGATATTCTTGTCGTAGCGATTGGACAGCCATTGCTCGTCAAAAAGGATTGGATTAAACCGGGTTTGCATTAAACTTATTCTTGTAATACAATTGTTTGATTAATTGAATGTTAACTCGAATTATAGGAGCCGTTGTCATTGATTGTGGCATTTCCTCGATTCCCGATTCGACCAAAAAGAGTGGTTCCAGACTTGTTGGGGATGTAGACTATGCGGAGTGCAAAGAAGTGGCCGGTGCTATAACACCAGGTTTGTTGTTCTTTCTATTCAACCATTATTTAATGCATTTGTAAATATTGTTTGACTGGACAGTACCGGGAGGTGTGGGACCCATGACTGTGGCTATGCTTATCAGTAATACAGTCGACGCGGCAAAAGTGGTAAGTAAATGAAATCAAAGAATAAAATAATGTATTATTTTATGGAAAATGTAATGAATTTTAATAAAATCAAGTCATTCTAACAATTGTTCGTTGATTATTAACATTAATTATATTAATTGTTATATTATTGTACTTTAAAATATAATTAAAATTGTAAGTTATAAAAATAGCCAATCATTCAGATGTACAGAACCCTTGTATTAAATTATACGTTCAATACACCGTTTTATGCTTTATTTAAATTTAATATTTTCTATAGATATTTGTAATAAAATTATTTTTCAGCAATACTTGAATAAAAATATTAAATTTAAATAAAGTAATGAAAGGAATCTGTGAATTGAATTAACTTTAATTTGATTTTTAAGACATACCATTGAATTTCGTTGTAGTGTTTAGTAGAAATAAAATCATAAATTGATATAAATTGTTGATTGTGTTATCAGTTTTAGACAATTTGTAGCATGTTAAAATTTATATAAGCTAAATTTGAAATCGATTAAATATATTGCAAAGAATTATTATAAAATATATTTATGTCATTCAGAAGTTATTTATTTCAATGAAAAGTTACAAACATTTTAAAACTTTAGCCAATATTTTGTAACATGTTTTGCAGATTTTTACCAATTCGGGTATTTTTGAATATTAAATTTTTAAATTACCGTTGCATACAATATATTTATTTGTCTCAATGTTTATGTGTATTGTCTTTATGTGTTTAATAGTATCCAGGTATGTTTTTACAATTAAATCAATTTCTTATAAATTTTAATCTTAAATTGTTGAATAAAACTTTAGTGATATTTTTAAATCTTAAAATTTACTATAAAATATATTTACGAAGTATTATCTGCAACTGATATAACATGTAATTGTATAATGGTACTTAGTTCATTCTGTAAACAGAGATAAAGACACTGAAACTTAGAAACTTTGTTTGAGAAAATCCCTTTTGATTTTTGAAATACATTTTTCAAAAACTATACCACTTAGACGTCTTAGTGTTAAATATGATAATTGTCATAGAAGTTATACAAAAACAATTTTATTCATTGCAAAAACATAAACAAATGATGATTTATTAAAGAATTTATTAAAATTGTCGATAAAAATGTCAGAACAGAACAAACAATTGTCATTAAGAAAACTGAAAGTTTAATGCATTTTAGGCATTGAGAACACAATCGTCTCACCAGTCGTGGGATATCGAGCACTTGAAACTCAATAAACTGAATCCCGTTCCCAGGTTTGTAACCGTATAACCATATATTGTTCGCAAAATAATTACATTTAGTGGTGATTATCGTATTCAGCGATATAGCGATAGCCCGTTCCCATCGCTGTAAACCAATTAAACAATTGGCCGCTGAAATCGGTTTATTGGAAGACGAATACGAGCCGTACGGAGCATATAAAGCAAAAATTACAAAACATATTCCCGTCTTTGACAAGAACTCAGTCCGAGGGAAGTATGTTGTGGTCACTGGTATTACACCCACTCCTCTCGGAGAAGGTATAGTCGTTAATACAGTATATTCTTGGGAACCGTTTTTATAGCTACAGTAATAATGATCGTAAAATTTAGGAAAAAGTACAACAGTATTGGGTTTATCGCAAGCATTGGGCGCTAATTTGCATCGAAATGTGATTACATGCATACGACAGCCGAGTCAGGGCCCGACTTTTGGCATTAAAGGTCTTATTCTACATTTGC